AAGAATATATAGTTAAGCCATCGGGACTGAGTAAAGAGAATGAACGCGGGGAACGACTGATAGAATGGTGCAGAGAAAATAATTTTATGATATCAAACACCTGGTATGAAACTCACCCAAGGAAACGATACACTTGGAAGAGCCCTGTCGATAGAGGTAAAATTCAAATAGACTTCACACTAATTCAGAAACGTTTTAGAAATACAATTAAATCGTCTAAATTACTGCCAGGAGCAGACTGTGATAGGGATCATGTGCCTGTTATGTGTAAAATGCAGATGAGACTGAAAAAACTTTTAAAGTCGAAGTACCAACCAAAATTTGACATAGATCTTTTAAAGACAAATCAAGAACTGAAAAATCGTTTCCCCATAGATGTAAACAATAAATTTCAAGCTTTGGAAAACATTACTAAATCGGAAGAACTATGGAGGAAAATGAAAGACTCAATAATGGAAGCTGTGGAAGAAAATATTCCCTCAAAAGCTAAAAGAGCAAATAAAAAATGGATGACCCAAGGCATATTAAAACTAATGGAAGAGAGAAGAAAGGCAAAATCAAATGTGGAAAAGTAGAACACCTTTAACAGGGAAATAGAGAAAAAATGCAACGAAGCAAACGAAGCATGGATCAATGATCAGTGTCAACAAACAGAGAAGAACCAAAACAAAGACAGCAAATACATGCATTCCAAAATCAAAGAAGTAAGTGGGACAAAAGGATGCTCAAATACAGGATGCATAAGATCAAAAGGAGGAGATATTTTAAAGGATAATGGGGATGTCTTAAACAGATGGTCAGAATACATAGAAGAACTTTTCAAAATTAATAAAGGAGAAACACCGGTACATGTAATATAAAATGAAATAAATGGACCACCAATAGTGGAGGGAGAAGTACAAGCTGCCATTAGGTTAATGAAACAAGGAAAAGCCACAGGGCCATATAATATTCCAGTTGAAGTGATTGTCGTGATATTCACTCACGCACGCAACACACACACATACATACACACCTACACACATACGTACATATGCACATACGCACATACAAGCTCACAACAATCTACAGCTTGGATGGATTCTGTCTAATCGAAATATGATGAAAATAGAAATGCTTTTAGTTTCTTCTTAAAAATTTCAAGATTTTCTGCTTCTCTGATAGTTTTTGGAAGCCTATTCCAAACAAGTGGGGCAAAATATGAAAAAGAGCGTAGGCCATATGAGTTGTAATTTATTTTAGGTTTAACAAGGGTTGTTTTGTCACTTGATGATCAGAGCGTTCTAGGAGGCACATAGGGTGTTAAAAACTGTTTTAGATAGTCCGGTGATAAATCATTTAAGCACTTGTAGCAAGTTAAACAGATTTTATGTATGATACGCTCTTTCACCGGGAGCCAGTGCAATGCTTTTAAAATAGGAGTCACATTATGATCAAGCTTTAGTTTTTTAGTAATTAAAGGAGGCTCCCGAAAAATGCTGTTTTGAGAAAATCGAAGGTAAAGTTTTTGCCCCTTGTGCAGTTTCTTTAAAAGACAGGAGCGTTTTCTCTATAGCCAAACAAATATACACACCAATGAAACCAAACTTCTCCTATAGGTAAGGCAAGGGGTTAGCCCGCTTGTCCTTAAAAGCGACCCTATCTTCTATTGTCTGAATCATTTGAAATTTTAAGTATTTCTGTGATCTTTAAAGCACGTACTATCAGAGTACTAGTTATGTATTGCACATAAAAACAGCTTTCATTGTTAACAATATTGCTCTATATTATATCTGTGTGACTATGGGTCTGCCTATGAGTGCAAGCATGATACAATGTGTATTAGTTTAGTTTTAGTAGAGGTTTTACGGCGCTCGCAACTGCATAAGGTCATATGAGCGCCAAGGGATGGATGTAAACAGAGAAGCCCTTGTAGGGAATCAGACTTACTCTGCTCACCTCACTAGCTTCAAGAGCACAAAGTCTGCTTCGACTATCAAGGCACCCCGGAAATAGCGGGTCGCAAGAGTGTGACAAACATACAAAAGAAGTAGAGGAAAATGACGATAATAAGGATAAGGAAAGAAAAGGCAGCAGTTCCCTGTTGTAGTTCAGGCATAATTATGAGCATGACATTTTTCGATCAGACCATTTACAATTCTACTGTGCATTAGAACGAGAAATGACCACCCCCCCCCCCCTTTGGGAATTGCCTAAAGACGCTTCTGTCAGTGGCACCCACCCCGGGTGGTTAATATAATGTGCATAATGTCATACAGATATATGTAGAGGAGAGTATGTGGGCGACTATATGTGTATGGGTTGTGTAAAACTCATTCAGCATTCTCTTAATGCAGATGCGCTTCATTATTATTATCATTATTATTATTATTATTATTATTATTATTATTATTATTATTATTATTATTATTGTTATTGTTATTATTGTTGTTATTATCATTGTTATTATCTTATCATTATTATTGTATTTTTTTTGTTTTTTTTAATTTTTTTTTATCATTATTGTTATTGTTGTTGTTGTTGTTATGATTGTTTTTATCTTATTATTATTATTGTATTATTATTATTATTATTATCATTATTATTATTATTATCCTTATTGCTATTATTATTTATTTTGACTCGAAATCGATGCTTCGCCTCGCTCTCACTTGTCCAGTGCGCTATCCTGCACTGTTGGTCTACTGTAATAACCATCGTTTTTGTTTTTACGACGTTAATGTTCAGGAATGCTTTACTGTTGTTATATTTTACTACTTTCACAATTTTAGGGAGTTAAATGCAATGGCCTAGTTGCTAGGCTGTTGAGCTCCCAACCGAAGGGTCGTGAGTTCGAACCCCGTTAGGTGTGTCCTTGGAAATTCACTTTACGACCACATGAATGTTCTTCACTTCACCCAGGTGGAAATGGGTACTCGCCTATGACGGCAAACGATTTTGCCAGTTTTTGAGCGCTTAATCGAATGTTTGCACAGCGTGCTTCCCAGGCCAACAGAGAATGTAATAAGGTGTTCTATCTAGGGTCTGCTGGGTAATTTTTCTCTCCTTTTCCCTTTAAGATTAGACATTTGCCCCCCTTTGTGCAGCGATGCGGTGACTACAAGCTTATGAAAATGGTGAAATGGTATAGTTTTAATGCCCCTATCAACACTATCAGGTTATTTAAAAGGCGGGACCTCAAGTTTAACGTCAATCTGCGAAAGGACCGAGCCAAGTGGGAAATGTGTGTAAAGTGCCTTTCCCAAGGACACAACGTCGGACCGAGCTGAGGCTCGAACCCTCGAACCCGCAATCTCTCCATTACGAGTCCGGTAGCCTAACCACTTTAGGCCACAGACGCCACCCAACAGGCTGAACGAGAACGTAAAATGAACTCACTGAACGACCGATGGTCGCCGTAAAAATATGATTGTGTAGGTCGATAGCTATGCATTCTGTGTTATAATGGATGTGACAAAATCGAAGGTGTCGTGGTAACTTGACAGAGGTGGTAGATATATCATATAAAAACAACCACCCCTAAAAAAAAACTCTTTCTCCAAAAGGACTACTGAAGCATACAATAGCCTTTCAAAGTCGGTCTTCCTTAAGGCCAATTAGAAAATACTGCTCTTTCTTTCACGGCTCATATTGACGCCTCCCAGTCACTACACACCAGTGAAACGCCAGACTTGTCCTAATTTCTCTTTCCTAGAAATTCAACGTAATCGGGTTGCGGTCGGTTTGCAAAGCACGGTGTAGGCTTAGCTGCAGCCTACCTCGCAGCAAGGCTCGCAGCGAGGCGACACAGCCGGTCTGATTCTTGGCCCACGAGATCAAGCTGCACCTTTCAATGCAGCTATTTATGGTGCCTTAAGAATGATACCTGGTAGTAAAATAAGACCGGCTAACGTCTTCCAGAACGATCGGGTCCCTGTACAGTATTGGGGCAGATCATGGGACATGCCTCTGCATTTTCATGAACGGGTACATTGATTTAAATTAATTTAGGTCTTCTGTACTATGCTTGTTGGTTTGTCTTGTGCTTTTTCTACGTTCTATAGGCATTACTATGTCCGTGTAATTTTCTAAAGTTAAATGTAAAGTAAACCATAGAGAGCTGTACTACTATTGTACTCTCAATATTATATAATTATTGATACTGAAGGTACGAATGCAAATTATCGTATTTCGAGGCGGAACACTATCTAAATAAACAGTATGTGATAAAACCCATGAGGCTGGGCCTATGTCCACACAATGAATCTGTAGCTTGCATATAGCGCAGAAACGCAATGTTAATTTTTTTTAAAAGAGGATCACGAAAGGAGTGTGGCTCCTTGCCTTCAACCCATGGTTCCATGAGTCGACATCGCAGTGCTGGCAAATCCGGGATTTCATTTTCCTTTCGGTTTGCTGCTGTTTTCGGCTAAAGCGGATTCCACTTTGTCTGTCACTATCTATCTATCTATCTATCTATCTATCTATCTATCTATCTATCTATCTATCTATCTATCTATCTATCTATCTATCTATCTATCTATCTATCTATCTGTACATGTATATATACCTGTGCGTGAGGGAGCATGTGTGTGTGTGTGTGTGTGTGTGTGTGTGTGTGTGTGTGTGTGTGTGTGTGTGAGCTTGTGTGTGTGTGTGTGTGAGCTTGTGTGAGTGTGTGTGTGTGTGTGTGTGTGTGTGTGTGTGTGTGTGTGTGTGTGTGTGTGTGTGTGTGTGTGTGTGTGTGTGTGTATAGCGTTAGATATTCTTTAGACCCGAGTCTCTTTATTTTTATTAATGGATTCACTTCCTTAACGTATACTATACTGGCCACGATATTTTCCACGTTCCTAGCCAAATGAACTTTTAGACCTGAGTGTAAACGTCTCACCGTAATCGTCATGGGTATACCATAATACTCGCCTCCTTTCGTAAGGCGGCGATATTCGCCAAACTATTCATCGACCTTACACAACAGAGAAAAAGGGTGTCACGTGGTCATCAACTGACAAATCACTAGCTTCGCGCCGGGCTCTGCGCTCTGACGTCAATGGGACTATATAAGGGAAAGATCCCAGGGTTTTATTTTCGCAGCCCTGGACATTTGAAAATGACCAAGATAACGTCTAGTAAGTTGCTTTTTCTTCTTTGTTGTCTTTGTTGTCCTATGTTTACTAACATTGTAAACAATAACACCTTTTCGCTCTACATTTCAACAGCTTATTGTTTAGAAGTTAGTCAAAATGTGTTACAGAACAGTGTCAATGAAAGCAAATTCGGTCAGATGACGTTTGGGAGTTGGCTTTGAACCAGGCGCCGCACTGCCTCGACAGGCAATGGTGTTTAATGAGACTATTTAAATTTTTATTCCAAGTGTTGTTATATTATCCAGTCATTCTCCTTTACATTAAAATTAATTCTATTGCTTAACAAATATTCCAAACACATTACCGTGAAGTTGCTGTATAGATCCTATTTCACACTATAAACCTAGCTGCTACTCTTTCTGAACAGTATACAAAATTACAATGTAAAACGGGGGGGGAGAATCAGGAAACAGTTTCCCTTAATTTCTAAAGGATATTTTATTTAACGGCTTTTTGTGAAAAAAAAAAAGTTTTACAACAACTAGAAATAAGAACTCTCAGTAATTCTAAGATGGCGACGAAAATGGCAGCAACCAACCGGCAGTCCCAACTACTTCCGGGTATGATGAAAAGCCTACTTTACTTCTATAGAGAGGCACAGGTCCCTGTCTACTAAATAACAACAACAGTAAAATGACAACTGCATGCATGATATTTATTTTTTTCGAGCAGACTCTAATTTGACTGTGTATCGATCTGTTTTCCGCATAACAAGAGTGCCTGTTTTGTTTGTTTTTCTTGCTCTTCTAACATCCGTTATCCGCCTCTGGCTGCTAGTGCCATCATGATGGCTTGTATCGTACAGGAGAAAAAAACTAAATGCTCTATCTAAATTACAGTGGCACAAATGTAAGGGGACAAGTTATCTTCCTAAAGACATGTTATGGTACTGTCTCCAACGTTTTGTCCGATTGGTATTGTTTCCTCACACATTTTAGAAAACTTTTCACCCAGTGTTCTTTTCGTGGGAGCTTCACACAACACCAACATATTTTTTTACGGAATAATTTTTGCACAGGTCAACGTACTTGGAAATAATATGACGATGTAAGAAATGCCATTCCATGATTATAGACAATATAATACTAAATGAATACTAATTTCAAAGATCATGTCCCTCTTTAATGCATTTAGTGGGCAAGACTTTGGTGCCCTTCCCCCCCCCCCCCTTTCTTTCGCCTTTTCCCCAATATAACTATTATTTTTAAATATTACCTTTAATATATAAAAGCAATATAATTTTGCATTTCCCCCCTCCCTCTATCTCTCTATCCGAATGAAATATATGAATATATCTCAATCCATTTCATTCAAGTATGGAGGAAATGATGTCGAAAAAACAAAACAAAAACAAGCCACTTTACAAGTTGAAAGTGATTTAAAACATGGGTCTCTACATCTTTCTTTCCACTCATTACACAAGAGGATGTCGGTAAAAGGATGTGACCCTCTACAAAAAGAACAAAAATGCAATAGTTGACTTTATACATCATATTTCCACTCCTTAAACCACGAGGAGATTGGTCTTATAGATGTAACTCAATAGAATGACCAAACACAAAATGAGAATAGACATCTGCTTTCCCCTTGAAAAAAAAAGAATGGTGATCTGAACATATAACCTCAAATTGTATTGATTGAATTACCTAATTTAACGTATTCATACAAGGTATCTGATCCCATACAATCGGCGGATTCCAAGTAGTGTCCTTTTAGAAATTTTGATTTATAATAATATTGCTCCATTTATTATTGTATTATTATTTCATTATTTTACTAAAATCAATTCTATTGTTAGTATTATTGTTTTTTATATTGATGGTATGACCGTGTTTCTTCTTCTTCTTCTTCTTCTTCTTCTTCTTCTTCTTCTTCTTCTTCTTCTTCTTCTTCTTCTTCTTCTTCTTCTTCTTCTTCTTCTTCTTCTTCTTCTGCTTCTTCTTCTTCTTCTTCTTCTTCTTCTTCTTCTTCTTCTTCTTCTTCTTCTTCTTCTTCTTCTTCTTCTTCTTCCTCTTCTTCTTCTTCTTCTTCTTCTTCTTCTTCTTCTTCCTCTTCTTCTTCTTCTTCTTCTTTTTCTTCTTCTTCTTCTTCTTCTTCTTCTTCTTCTTCTTCTTCTTCTTCTTCTTTTTCTCATTATCAATATTTGTATTTATTTATTTATTTATTTATTTATTTATTTATTTACAATGTAATTGATGTGGTTGTTTTTTTCTTAATTATCATCAATGCTGCCCTTAATCTATAAACGTGTTATCGATAAAAATAGACGGTAACATAAATGATGACACTATAAGGGGGGGGGGGGGGGAATGAGAAGGGGTGGGGGGAGGAGGGGAGGCAATTACAGCGAATTATAGGCGATTTCCAGGTTGAGAACCATAGATATGAGGTACAGAGAAGCGGAACCAATTACCCAATACAGGAAAAAAAGGCTAAAACAGCACCTGGACATGGATGGCTGGTGCCTCTATAAATAAATCATTGATGGTCAGGTCAGGTCCCCAATATAAATATATCATATTTTTACTACGTACCAGTGAATTTATATTCTTTAAAGAAAAGTGTTTTAAAATGTGAGGAATCGTGGTGAAATCAAGTGCTCGTCAACATACATGTAATGGAATTAAATAAACCGGCAATGTTCTGTCCGTTCGGCAATTTTATTCGGATTTTTTTGTTTTTTGTTTGTTGTTGTTGTTGTTTGTTTTGTTTTTGTTTTGTTTTTGTTTTGGGGGGGGATGGCTCAACACCTTTTAGAGTCACATTCATATATGAATTTTACTTCAAAACGTTGATCACAGGGGCACAAATTTATACTTGCACTTTTAAAGGACTCTGAAGCTTTAGAGGTCACCAAACTGTGGTAGCCATTTTCTCACCAATTTTACTTCTGACTTCAGGCGACCTCCACCTCCTTCAGTTGCAAATATATCGACTTCTATTCAAGATAGATGGGTATTTTTCATCAAAAGAAAGACAGTAAATGAACAGGCTGTAAGATGATACTAATAACTCCACATGACAAAAAACTGACGAGAGCCTGATTCCACCGCGCCGTATCACAAATGGTAATAACCGTCTATTAAACCTAACCAATGAGATTTACTTTCTGTTACAAGTTATGCTGCAGATCTTTTTTTGTGTAACTATAATTATGATTTACCATTGTTCTTATTCGTTTTCTATCTGGCTCTGGTGACTCTTAAGTATTCCAATTTCATTGCAGTCAACTCTGTCGACGACGCGCAGCTACCTTCAACCGAAAACACACCAGATTCGATACCAGACTTGGAGCATTCAGTTGATATGGAGGGATCAGGAGATCCTGATGATGGAACACATGAACTCGAGTCAGATATTTCCCCTTCCGTAGATAGCTTTCCAACAACAGCTTCAGGCGATGAGGAACAAGAGTCACCGGAAACAGCTGAAACTGCAACTGTCTCAAAACCACCAATGATAAAAGAGTTAGCCCTTGCATTTTGGTTTTATATTGGTTCATGCGGAATTCTGAAAAAATACCTGGGTGTCAAAGATTATACAGAAAAACCAACAAATTATGAAATTTCATCTCTGCCAATTAATTACGGATGCAACACTGAAAATGCCCTTTGGGTTTTTCCTGTTATTTCGATTATAACTGGCTACATACAATATGAAGAACTGAACGAAGAACGGTGTCGGCTTTTAACTTTTCGCCCAGAAGTTAATTACCTCTCGAGAAAGGCTTTAGCAAAAAATGGCTTTTACTACTTTGGGAATGGACACCGCATTGCCTGCTATTTTTGCAAGAGGTGGGGCACTGCCTTGGGCGACCCGGAGGGTTTGCAAGAGATACGCTCGTGTCATCACACAAATTGTCCAATGGTGACAGGAGAACCGTGTAATAACATCCCACTTTCTGTGAGTAGCTGTCAGGACCCCACGGCCGAAAGTCAAACGGTAGCAGAGCAACCCACTGATGAGAACAATGACATACCACTTGGAAGATGGCTGGACCAAGCAGCAAGGGATGATGTCCCGGTTCGTAGAGAGAGGCTTCTTTCCTTGCAAAATGATTGTGGAATAGAGGATCACAGGAGGATCATGTCCCCTCCGCTTTACCCGCTTTTGTCAAGACCTGAAACAAGAAGGCTATATTTTCCCATCTCCATCGATAGTAGAATCATCGAAAACTTCTCGGGGGCAGGTTTCTTTTTTGCTGGTAAGTTATAACAGTAGAAAGTTCTTTTAACCACCTCATTTAAACTGCTGTCATGTCTTTGGAATAAAGTTCCCTTCTGTAGTTGCTTGCCCCTGTGCGTTCTTTGCCGAGTACCAAGGTACCTTATTTATGGTACTATTTATTGGTTACAAAGAAGAATGTCGATGAGTCGGTGTTCATTTGGAGAGAAAAAATAACAAAAGCAAGAAGAAATATAAAAGGGATAATATAGGGGATAGGACAGACCAGAGGCGCTTTTCAACCACCCGACATCATCGTTTGACTCTTAGAAAAGAAAGGAAGAAAAAGAGATTAAAGCAAAGAAGTGTGAATGTACACGACTTACACATCTAGAGAATAATTAGGTGTAGGTTGTTGCTTTTTCTGCTTTTATTTTCTTTGGGGGGGGGTGGAATTGAATAGAAAAAAACAAAACAACAAACAACGTAAGTAGAAGATCTAGCTAAAGTCGACCTCGTTTCTACGATCGTCTCTGTTGTTGATAGTTTATTTATTACACAGTTTTTACATTTTAAAATATAATTTTTACACGAGGGTTCACTCCTCTTTTGAATATGAATTCATTCACATCAAGTCCGGCATTTTCTTCTTTTATTCAACGAACACTTGCCTTTAAACAGGATTGTTCTTGTAATAATGTATGGTAATTAATTTTTATGATTTTCGGAAACTCCTGTTTCAACTTTTAGAAAGACATCTTTGTCTATCAAAAGGGGATTTAGTTGGTAATTTTGATGACCACTCTAGCTTCACGTAAAATGCACAAATGTTATTTTCACAATTGTGTTCAAGGTGTAACGAGTAACATAATACATGCACATATAGTACAGTATTCAAAACACGAAATTCAAAGACCCATGAACCCCACGCCTCCTTGTGGGATATTTTTTCAAAAATACGATTTGTGTTTGCTGCTCAGTATTGTTGACAGGCTGTGGTTAAAGTCAATGTCCCAATGCACCTCCCCAGAGGAAAGCATCTGCTGCTTCTGGTGTGGAATTCGGTTTGCTTTCGAAAGGGTAGCTTTGCAAGTCGTCGACATCTGGGAACTACACGCCCAAGAGAAACCAACATGTGTTTACCTTATCCTTCGAATGGGGCTGGCTAACGTACAACGCTGGAGTGGACATAGTCAAGTAAGTGGATGTTGTCCTTATAAGGCTTGGCCCACTTCCCACGAAACACAATAAGGCCGTTTCAAATGCAGAGGTCCTTGTTCAGTAGCAAGAAAACGGAAGAGGCGGAAGGGTCATATTTAGGCAGATCCCTTCGACCTGGACATCTCACTAAAGGGCAGCGCAGCGGAAACGTGTGGAACAGGCAGTGGGCGGGGACGAGGGTGGAGGCTCTACTGAAATCCTTTTTTGCCTTTTCAAGTTTATAAGTTTAGTGCACACACGTGTGACGTTACAAGCTAACAAGGTTGTTTGACTTTGACGAATACAGATCTGAAGATTGAAGAATTTCCACTTGTTCAAAAGTCTGAAGGAAAGTTCCATAATGTTACTGAGCTTACCATACCACTGGTAGGTTGGAAACCTTTGGTCTTGTTCTGAAATGGAAGTCTTGCCCGTCGCTGCAGACATTTATTGCGACAGTGACAAGCAAGTCCTTCCACAACGTGTGCACAATGGTAGACTTACCTGATTCGTATTATTATTTTTATTATTATTATTATC